CTGGTAAGAAATTTGATTTTGATTTGATTTTTCCTTTTTTTTCTTTATTTTTTCCTTTCCCCCTCTCTTCGCTAACCGATTCATCGTTTTATAAATCGATTACCGAGTGGGGGGTTCCTAGCTTTTGAACCAACAGATTCTGTTTACAAGAATTGTTGTGTGCGCCGGGATTTTGATCAACAGTACCCGATGTGTACGTTTGTGTGTTTGTGTTATGCCCGTCTGTCTGTGCCTCTGCGTATGCTGCAGGTTTTTCGGTATTGAGGGCCGTAAGTTATAGTCCGCAATGGACAATCTGTGGTCCGTCTGTAGCGTTTTCCATACACCTAAGAATTTATTAAGAGAAAAAAATCAGAAAAAAAAGTAACGATCAATTAATCACAATTTATGTTGAGCGTATGACATTACGAACAACTTTTTTGAGACCTAAGCGATTAAAATTTTTTTTTTTTCTATTCTGTCAGCGTATTTTCGGCTGATTCTTTGAAGCAAATAAAAATGAGAAAAAAAAGATTTTTTTTTTTGAATTTTGTACCACTTAAGCAACATCCTTCACCCTCTCTTCTTTTCTATAGCTTACCTCTTTTCAACTCCTTTCCTACCGCACCCGTTTCTCGTAGTCTGCAATATACACCTATTGTTAAAACGAAAGATAATTGTAAAAAATCTCTCTTTTTTTTTCGCTTCTCGTTTACAACCCTGGATTTTTATCGAAAACAGTTTTTTTAGTAATTCGAATGATATTCCGAAGTGTGTTTGTTGTATAACCAAAAGGTCTTAAAACGGGGCCAAGAAAACGCCGGAGGTATACGCATAAAATGTATGCGCGTTCCGTCTAAAATATAACAGTAAAAACCGATTCTATTTATGTGAATACTGCTCCTAATGCACTCGGCAAGCACCATACATCCAAGTGACTTTCGGAAATGGTCGTTCCGTCACTGATATTCATCAGTCGACAACTCACTACACACCAGAAAACTTTGGAGTTTAGATTTTGCTGAAAATGGGCAGTTTGTCCAGATATCAATCGATGTATCGATGGTTGTTTGAAAGTTAATTATAGTGATTGGAAAAGATTTTCCAAATAACTGGTGAAAGAGAAGAAAGAAGAGAATAAAAAGAAAAGTTCTATGTTTTTTTTTTTTTT